CTCTCTGTTATTTTTATGTTAAGACAAGTTCTTGCTAAGTTGCCCAGGTTGGCCTCAAATTTCCCATCTTCCAGTCTTAGTTTCCCAGAGTGCTGAGATTATAGGCATGCACCATCATACCAGTCTAGGATTTTTTATTTCTATTTTTATAAACTGTTAATTTGAATTGCTTGGCCTAAAGGAGCCTCACATAGTGAACCATAAGCCAACTGGTTGTGTAGACTCATAACAAGTAGTTGAGTCTCAGTCAATCACAAGTGGCCAACTGTTTAAACCGTGTTCAAATAAGACAGATAGCAGCTTTCACCAATGAGCTGTCTCTCTACATCACATCTGGTTTCTGTACTTCATTGCTTTTTCTCTGTTCTGACTATAAATCCAACCTATCCATATGATGAAAGGGAGCTTTCTGAACCATTTTTAATACTGACTCAGTATTAAATTCCTGATTAATTCCTGATTCAGTCACAAAGCTAGCTAAAATTTGCAAAATTAAATTTGTTGTAATTTTTCCTTTTTACAGAACTCTTGGTTTTTGTTGTTTTTTTTCAGACAGGGTCTTGCTGCTATGTAGTCCAGGCTGGCATCTAATTCACTAGGTATCCCAGGCTGGCCTCAATTGCTTGGGGATCCTCCTACCTCAGCCTCAGGCTCTAGAGTGTTGGGACTACAGGTGTGTGCCACCACACCTGGCTCTAAACTTTTTATTTAAACCAAAATGAATGGTTTCTGATTCCTGCAATATAAGGAGTCCCATCTATTAGCCCCCTCAGAACAAATCTCTTCCCCTCAGTCCTAATACCAAAGCACTCAGCCTGATGTATTTGGTCAAAATAAGAGCCTTTATAAAGATGCTTCTGGTGAGATATGAAAAAATAGGATATAAATAACCATTATGTACAACTTCCAACAGTAAAGTTCTCCCAGCCACCCCTTCAGCGAGCACTCCAGAGTGTCTGGGGCTGAGATTGGGCACCACTGAACAACAAAGATATCCAGGCTTTGTCTCCAGGTACTGAGAGAGAAGGCACAGGTCAGGCCTAGAAAATGAAATGAGTAAGAAGCATTAAGAAAGGCTCCTTTGGCTCCCTTCTCTCTCCCCAGGAGAGGTTCCCACTATGACCTCTGGAGCCCATGGGCCTTCCGAACAGAAGATGGCAAGTAGCCCAAACGACAGCAAGAGGAATGCAAAATAGAACTAAGTCAGAACTGAAAAGTGGGCAGAGACCTTGCCGAGACGCTACCATCCTTGTTTCACAAACAGAATGGAGGACGGCTAAAGAAAAATCAGGGCTGCCTTGGCCCAGCGTGCCTCCTGTGTGCATAGAGCCCTAGGAGTGTAGCTACCTCCCGAGCATAGATGGAAGGAGCCGATATGACGTAAATCGGTCGAGAGTCTCCATCTTCCGGGCGACTCCAATCTACGGTGGAGCTGCGGAAGGAAAGGAAGAAGGAAGGATCCAGATCTTGTATTCTCAGATCTTGTTTTCCCCTACCCATCAAGGAAGGAGAACCCACAGGCAGGTAAAAAATTCCGGAACGACCCAACCAGAGAGGTACAGCACCGGGCACAGGAGGGACCGATCAGGAAGATGCATCGAAGCTGGGTGCAAGCAGCCAATAGCGACGACGCACACATCTGTGGCCCTCACCTCGGGCCATCCCCGGAGCCCTCCTGCGTCCTCAGGTTGTTGAGTGCATCAGGGAGCGCGTGGACTGACGGCTCCGGGGTCCCCGTCAGCAAGCGAGACCCAGTATCCCGGCCAGGGCTAAGGCGGCGCAGGTGGATCAGCAAGAGCGCGACGCCGGCCAGGCCCGTGGCCACCAGCAGTCCCAAAGCCGGCGGCAGAAGGAAGCGCTGGGGATCTGCCTGCTTGAGGCCGGGCGAGGCCGCGGGCAACGCGCCTGCGCCAGCGTCCGCGCTGTTGGGGTGAACGGGAAACTCGCACCGCGCGCCCATGTAGCCGGGCGCACAGGCGCAAACGAGGCCCGAGAAGTGGGCGTAGCAGCGGCCGCCGTGAGCGCAGGGGCGCCCGGCGCAGGGGTCCGCGCGCTCCCGGCAGTCGCGGCCGCCGAAGCCCAGCGCGCAGGAGCAGCGGCGCGCGCCGCCGCCTTCCACGCAGGTGCCGCCGTTGGCGCAGGCGCGGCCGGCGCAGTCGTCGAGGTCGTGCTCGCAGCGCGGCCCTGCGAAGCCGGCGCGGCAGCGGCAGCGCAGGGCGTGGCCCAGGTCCAGGCAGAGCCCGCCTGTGGGGAAGCGGGCATCAGAGGCGCACCTCCGCCCTTTTGGAGCCCTGTGGTCCCCGCCCTAGGTCCCCATTCTCCACCTCAAAGGTTTGCCTGGAAAAAGGGCTCGTGTCTGGTTCTACCTTATGAAATCGCCAAGTATCTTTCTCTCGCCTTCAATCATACTTACAGTTAAATTTCCAGAACTACGTCTTTGAACCACTTGCCTTTTGCCCTAGACTGCACCACCACCACCCTTTCTCTTTTTAACACCTCTCAAACCTAGTTCACCCTTCAAGTCTACGCAGATGCCCTTTTCTCCAAGAAGTTTCCCTGACTTTTCTTCCATCCCATCCCCGACTGCGCCCGATTGCCCTGTGGCTCCCGCCTCACAGCCTTGCCCACTCTGGGTTCTGAGGATGGGGTCTGGAGGTGACGTGGTCACTGCTATGTCCCCAGTACCAGTCAGTCCAGAGAGCACTCGGTGAGTGGAGAATCATTACGTCCACTTGCAAGACTGTACCAGGCCTTTAGTGTTTAAGATCTCATTTCATCTTTCGACTCCTATACAAGATCAGATCTTCCTCTGCTCAGAACCTCCCGTCTCCATCTCCCTCTGGGTGCCCGCAGGACCTGCCCCACCACCTGCCTGACCTCATCTCTCCTGGCTGTCCCCCTCCCTCTGCTCTGGCCACGCTGGCTCCCTGCTGACCCACAGCACACGAGGCACATTCCCACCACCTCCGCCCCAAGGAGGCAGGGATTTTTCTCATTCCTTGCAGTGCCTAGGTTAAGACCTGACGCGTAAATGCTCAGTAAATACTTACGAGATAGGCAATAGCCTCTGGTCACTCTACGAAACAAATGGGCTAGGCAGAGGAAGAAGGAGTGGAAAGCCAGGGCTCCCACCCTCGCAAGGCCTCTCACCCACACCCCTCACAGATCTGGCCTCCCCGCCTCACCATTCTGGCAGGGCTGCAGGCTGCACCGGTCCACCCTCTTCTCACAGTTGGAGCCTTGGAAACCCGGTGGGCAGTGGCAGACATAGGCAGAGTCCGGATCGGTGCCCCCGACACACAAGCCGCCATTGAAACAAGGTCCATCAGCACAGGTCACCCCGCTCACCTCACACCGCAACCCGTAGAAGCCCCGGGGACAGGCGCACTCGAAGGAGCCGGGCGTCTCCTGGGCAGGGGCAAGAGGGCTTCGGACAGGAGTTTCCTTGGAGCAAAAGCCCATCCTCCCCCGATCCAGGTTTTAACCCCAAGTGCCAGTGTGCAGAGGCTTTGCCTGGACTCCTCCCGGACCAGCCCTCACCCACTCCAGGATCTTCCTCTGCGCCATAACTGGCCCACAGAGAGAAGCTGCCCCCACCGCTGGCCTGTGCCCAGCTAATGCCACCTTCTTGCTTGCCCTCCTGGAGCCGGCCATGTAGACAAATCCGACTTGAATTTCTCCCCAAAGGTTTCTCTCCACTCCCTTCCACAGCCCCACCCCACCCCTGACCTTAAACCCTGAGTTGTCTCACTCTCCCGGGTGGCAGCATCCAGGCTCTTTGTTCCAACACACTCCAAGCTCAGCCTCTCTCTGTGCCCTTCCTCCTGCCCTCCACTTACCTGGCCCGCCCTCTCCGATCACCTGCCCTTGGCCAAACCACCATGCTGCACAGCCCCCGGCTGGTGCCCACCCCATCCCAGAAAGCCTTCTCTGATGTCTCCACCACACTTCCTCCCGAACCCTCCCCTCAGGAGGCTTAGGCCTCTGTCTTTCCCATTCTAGCACCTTTCAGCCGCACCCCCCCCCTCCATCTTTGCTCCTGAATTTCATCCCCATCACCAAATCTTAGTTCAAGTCCTCACATTCAGGCTGGCCACCTCCAAGAAGCCCTCCTTGATAGCTATTCCCAGACTTCACCCCCAGGCGGTGGCTCAGGGATCCCCAGGGAGGGGGTGCTGGGAACTCGGGACAAAGCAGGAGAGGGGATACTGACACTGCAACTGCCCCCATTGGCACATGGGTTCCCGTCACAAGGTCCAGGCCCAGGTGCGAGGCATCCAGCGGTGACAGAGGATGGGCCCCGGGGCCCAAGACAGCTGCTGGTTGAGACAGGGACAGTGCAGAGGGGCCCAGTCCAGCCCTCCAGGCACTGGCACTCATCTGGCTGCTCACAGAAGCCGTGCTCCCGGCTGCAGCCAGCTAGGCATATGGCTACGGGGAAGGGAGAGGCAGGGAGAGAGACACAGGAGAAGGCCAGGGTCAGGAGACTGGAAGCAGAAAGGTTCTGAGTGCTCTCCACATTCCACCAAACCTTCTCCTTGTGACCGACAACCTTTTGGGCTCAAAGTTATTGCAGAGCCCCCAGTTTACAGACCCAGAAACTGAGGCCCAGAGAAGCAAGGTAAAACACAGTGCTTGGAAGAAAAGGAGTGAGGATCTGAACCCAGGCCTGTTCATCTTGAGTCTGTGTTTGTGGAAGCAGCATGGGGTGAGGGTGCCCAAATCTGAGTCTGGAGAGAATTGGGGCAGGGTCTCAGATTGAGGAGGGACCCCTGGCCTTCCAGGGAAGGTGGAAGGGTCTTGGATTGGCATAGGTTTAGGAAAATACAAATGATCTGAGAGTCCTGGGGGCCTTGGTACTACTCTGAAATTTAGGAAGGGTCTGAGGCCGTGATAGTGAACCTATAGCACACATGTGCTGCAGTGGGCTGTTTGGTATCGCTGAAAGCTCTAAAAGGTTCACCCATCACTGGTCTGAGGAATCCTGGGTGGGGGTTAGGGATCCAAGCTTAAAAAGCAATGAAGGGGGCCAGGATTTAACACGGTGGGACCCATGCCTGCCTCGAAAGCACAAAGCCCTGTGTTTGATCCCCAGTACACAAAAAACAAAACAAAAAACCCAACATTTTGGGCTGGGGATTTAGCTCAGTGGTTCTGCAGCCTGCTTCAAAAGCGTAGGGACCTGAGTTTGATCCCCGGTACCAAAAAAAAAAAAAGCAATGAAGGGGGCCAGGCATGGTGATGCACACGTGTAATCTCACACTTGGGAAGCTGAGGCAGGAAAATGGCAAGTCTGAGTCCCACCTGGGCAAACTAGCAATTTTTTAAGTTTTGTTGTGTTTTTTTTTTAAGTGCTGGGGATGTTACTCAGTTCTCCTGGAGAGGAAAAAAAAGCAATAAGGAGGGACGTATATGATGGTGCACACCTGTAATCCCAGTTACCAGCAGGCTGAGGCAGAAGGATCATGAGTTTGAGGCCACTCTGGCTACATAACAAGGCTCTGTCTCAAAATAAAAAGATCTGGGGATGTAGCTCAGTGTAGCGTGCCTAGCATGAGATGGGCCCTTGGCGTCCATTTCCAGCACTACAAAAATTAAAAAATAAATGAAATAAAATAATTATTAAAAGTAATGGATTCTAGGGCCGGGGATTTAGCTCAGTGGTTTCACCACCTGCTGTGAAAGCACAAGGCCCCGGTTTGATCCCCGGTAACGAAAAAAAGAGTAATGAATTCTGGCTTGCAATCTCAGGGAGGGAGGACACAGGAGCCCTCGGGGACAAGAGGACGCTGGGGGAAGGGAGACGGGGAGAAGTTTCTGTGGCTCTGGAGCTCAAGTAGGAAGGGCTCCAGAATTAGAAGAGCTTTGGGCTCCTAGCCTCAGGAAGGAATGTGGGTATGGGTTAGGGGAGGAAGTGGGGGTCCCAACATGGGAAGTGGTGCGAGGTTCCTATTTGGAACAAGAAAATGCTTGGAGGAGGGAAGGAGGCTGGAGTACCCAGGCAGGCCTGCAGAGAAGTCTATGGTCCTCAGTTTCCCCAAAGGTGGTAGGTGGATGATGGGAGGGGGCTCAGCCCATGGATAGTGCTAGGGAGAGGCTCAGGGTCCCTAATTCCCTGAAGAAGGTAGCTGGGTGGTGGGGGAGTACTGAGAGCTGCGAGTGAAGCAAGGTAGGGCCGGGATCCAGGGCGGTGGAGGGAAATGGGATGCGGTTGAAAGCAGAACTCACGCGGGTCCTCGCACTGGTCTTCGAATGGCGGGCAAGGTCGTAGTCCCAGGCCACACCGCGAGGGGGCGTTGCGCGAGCGACACAGGCGAGCACATGCGGCCCCGACGGCAGGCGGCTCGCAGCGGGCGCGGTAGGAGAAGCGCAGCTCCCAGGCGCCTGCGCGCTGCACATCCCTGGCCCACGGGGCCCCGGCTGCCAGTCGCCGCCGGCCGGCCACACGCGCCAGCAGGCTCCAGGCCGGCTCTGCGGGGGAAAGCGAGGGTTCTGGGATGGAGCAGCCCAATTCTGGTCTCGGGACAGGCACGGAGCATGCCGCCTCGCTCTCTCCCTGGTGCTTATAGTGAAACCAAAACACCCTTATGGAGCCCTGGGGGGTCCTCTGACCCGGAGGGGAGAATGTCAGTTACCCACAGTAGCAAGGGTATAAACTCCATCGCCGTAGTAACATGTCTCGTAACAACTGTAATACTCCTGTACTTGTCCCAGAATCTAGTGGGATGGTGGCACACACCTGTAATACCAGGACCCTGGGAGGCTGAGGCAGGAAAATCGCAAATTCAAGCCCAGCCTGGGCAATTTAGCAGGACCTTGTCTCAAAATAAAAAGTAAAATTAAAGGGCCGGGGATTTAGCTCAGTGGTTTCGCCTCCTGCTAAGCAAGCACAAGGACCCGAGTTTGGTCCCCGGTACCAAAAAAAAAAAAAAAAGTAAAATTAAAGGGGAGGTGTGTGGCTCAGTCCAAAGGCCCTAAATTCCAACCACAGGAAACAAAAGGAAGGAAGGAGGGAAGGGAAAAGACCGCTAATGTCCTGTGACATCGGATACTTCTTTATGCACGAAGGACAATAACATATCTCCAGAGTAAGGTCATAACACATCAAAATCGTGCCTCTGGGCCTGGGATTCAGCTCAGTGATTCCGCCGCCTGCCTCGAAAGCGCAAAGACCAGAGTTTGATCCCCAGTACCAAACAAAACAAAACAAAATCGTCCCTCAAGGTCTTCCTCTATCAGAATGGTGACAGGGACCCCACTTTCTAGACTACAAATTACCCATGTTGCCTGAGAACTTGGGATACTAGGAGGGTGACACGTTCCCCGGAACAAGGGTGTCACACTCCAACATTGTGTGGCACAGGTGCTTTCTACATCAAAATGATGACAGAGGCCCGGGGATTTAGCTCAGTGGTTTTGCCGCCTGCTGTGCAAGCGCAAGGACCTGAGTTCGATTCCCGGTATCAAACAAAACAAAACAAAACAAAATGATGACACTGTGGGCCTTTCACAGCAAGTTTGTCACCAAAGGATAAGACCACCCCATATCCTGAAGCCTTTGCCAGTATTCTCCCTGAGGAAGCTGCCACATCCCTGGGACCTCTGTATGGACTAGACGGCAGTTTCACAGAAAGTAGTGAGAAGTAGCTCATACTACAACCTGGGCTCTCAAAATCAGACATGTACTAATAAAAAAATGTTTGTTTGTTTTAGAGACAGCACCCGGCTATGTAGTCCACTCTGGCCTTGGACTCAAAGCACTGCTTCTGCCTCTGCCTCAGCCTCCCGAGTGCTGGGATTACAGACATGCACCACCACACCCGGCTCGAGTGCACCTGCTTTTTTTTTTTTTTTTTTTTGGTACCGGAGATCGAACTCGGGTCCTTGTGCTTGCGTAGCAGGCGGCAAAACCACTGAGCTAAATCCTCAGCCCTACTTTGAGTTTTTGTATCACTCCTGACATGGATTGTGCTAATGCTTATGTTCTAGGCATCTGCCTGATTTCATTACTATTATGTGGATTAGTGATTAATAATGATAGCTGTAGTTCTAAAGGCC